GCATTCACAGGGCTCGAACTCGAGACCACTGGTTAAGTTGGAAGAGACCTAAACCATCTCATCCAAGCGCTGTTGGGTACTAAATTTAATTATTTAACATATTGACATGAGAAAAGTAGGCGTAATAGTCAAACTCATTGATTTCTATTTTATAACCAATAGTCTCACTGATTTCTGGTACTCTCAGTAACCGTACGTAGATACTAGTCAAACTTGTATGCAAAATTAAAAAAAAAAAAAATTAACTATTTCATCGGGTTTGTAATCGTTAGAGCATCATGTAATCGTCGGAAATCCGGACGCAATGGTTCTGTTATATTCCAACATACTTGAGACTAATTTCAGTAGTTGAGAAAATCTTTAATTTCTTTGAAAAAATTGCATTGCATTTAAACGAAGTCGTTTCAAGCTTCTAATTCAGAACAAATTTCTTTCCCAATCCAGAATATTTCATCTGTGAAACAAAATGGAGTAAAATCATATGAAATGCAGCCAACACATTATCAAACTTATCATCAAAAGAAGAAAGCACCACACTTTTACTTGTCTAAAGCTACATATATATCACACCAGAGACATTCAATTTATTCAAATACTACTTAATATTCCTTCAAATTTGTTTTTTTTCCCCTGGAGCCTAGACTCCACAAGGGCCCGAATCCTCTCGACCGACAAGTCGAGCGTCCGTTTCTCCATATTCGCGAAACACACACGAAACCAACCGGGCTCCGAGCAATGGAAAGACGAGCCGGGCGACACGTTCAGCCCGAACTCCCTCAACATTTTCTCCCAAAGCTCCATCTCGGCCTCGAACGTGGGCTCCTCGAGCAAGTGCCTCATGTCCACCCAACAGAAAAGCCCAGCATTCCCCTCGAGACACCGTATCCCCATCCTCCCGAGCCCCTCCGCCAGCATTTCCCGCCTTTTCCTCAGCCGGGCCCCGTTCACCCTCACGTACTCGTTCACAAACTCTTCGTCGGCAAGTATTTTCGAGACGAGGTGCTGCGTCTGGGACGAGACGAGCCCGAAGCTCGACATTTTCGTGGCGGCCGATATTAGGGTTTCGTTCTGCGAATATATCATCCCGATACGGAAGCCCGGGAGGCCGAGGTCCTTGGACAGGCTGGAGACCACGTGGACCCTGCCCGAGATTGTCGGGTCATTCGTACTGTTGAGGGCTTCGAGGATGCTGATGAATCGCGGGGAGTCGAAGACAGTGCCGGCGTATATCTCGTCGCTGACGATGTGGAGGTTTTTTCGAACGGCGAAGGAGACCAGAAGGTTTAGTTCGTGGAGAGTGAGTGAAGTGCCGAGCGGGTTTGAAGGATTTGTGATGAATATGCCTTTTACTTTGAGTTGAAGGTTTCGGGCTTGTCGGTAGGCTTCGTGCACGGCGGGAGCTGTGATTCGGAAGCCGTTGGAGCTGGTGCAGTTTATAGGGATGATTTCCACCTCCGTACGCCATTTCAGGTCCCTATCGAAACTGGACGTACGTACGTACGGAATAATAATAATAATAATAAACACAAACTATATATAAAATTAAACTGTGATAATATTTGAAATTTGGGCGGATGCGTGAATATGACAAAAAAAAAAA